TCTCTCTCTCTCTCTCTCTCTCTCTCTCTCTCTCTCTCTCTCTCTCTCTCTCTCTCTCTCTCTCTCTCATAAAAACATGTTACAGAAAACTGTAACAAAACAATTGCTATGAAATTGTGAGAATAAATAATTTTTACTGCAAAATGTTTGCATAGATTTAAGACTAGATTTAAGTTTAATTTATAAGAGTGTGTAAAACAGCTGTCAATGTATTGCAATACAAAAGGGCTATCAATGAGAGTGTGTATCAAATATGAGCTCAAAGAATGTGTATAAAAGGACTATAAACATAAAGTACCATGGTACAACAAACAGCGCTGTAAATGGTTAACCTATTAAATAACCATGATTAAGTGTATGATAGCCCAAAAAAGTCCTTTTGTCATTTAAAATTTATTATTAAAATGTATTTGTTAATACTTTTTTATATTAAATTGCATTTTAATAAATTGACTATTATAAAAATCTCTTTATGTATTTATTACTAATTCAATAATTCCTGTGATATGATCATTGGTAAAATTATACGAACTATTATATAGTAAGATGTTTATAATTTACTTTTTAAAATTTATTTTTATTTATACCGTAATAAATTTTTAAAATATAAGAATTATTTTTAAATAGATTAATTTAAATATAAATTAAACATTAAAATAAAATACAATGTAATTTAAATGTAATTAATTTTACATGTTTGTATTTAATATTACACTCATTTTAAGACATATTATATTTATTAAGCAATGATATGATGAGGACATGATTGATGGCCGCAAAGCACACGTACCGATACAACTCATAGGCATTCATAGGGAACAGATTGTAACAATAAAATCCAATGGGTGGCCATGATACATTTTCTATAAACGCATTCACTCTCCATTTTTGCCTAACGTTAGTTATGCGCCGATTACATAAATATGAGTAAACAATTGACCTTGCTCGATGGGCCGCGTAAATAATCCTGGTGCTCATTAAGGTCATAGTACACACAGGCATAAAACCCAACATAAAAGCAGCTCCGGCTATAAACCGGGCGTACAATTTGGTGTGACTGTCGTGCGTTACGAATAATAATAAATGAAAGCCCGGAGTAACCAAATAGTACATGATGCAAATAATTAGCCGGAAAAATTTGTTTACATCATGGCAGGTTTGTTGCATGTAATTATGCTGCCTGATTGCATTCAGTAGTATTATCGGATTATTATATATGTATGCGGTACGGATGCGTTGATTAATCTCGGTGAATTTGAGCCGCAAGTACACGGCCGACACATACCATAAGAACAGACAGTACTGTATTAGACAAATAGCTTGATGGGCTACTATTGTAGTAAGAATGTTCCAGAATATTGAGCTTGGTACTACTATGTATGGATTGTAATCCCAGCACATGATCACTAATAGGATCGTTTGGAGTAAAATGGGAAGTATTATAAACATTATTAGCGATTGTTTCAACATAAATCTTGTGATCAAATTCAATATGAAACCAAACTTTCGAGCATTCATTGGATTTAACGGGTATTTCAAACGATTGTGTTTAATATGTGAATAAAAAGTGAATATTCTGGCCGTTTGTCGCCACTCTTGCCAATGAAGTACCCATTGAATGGTCACAATAGCTGTGCCCTCAATAGATACCACACACGCTATCAGCGATCGATTGCCCATAAGGTATAGAAAATCACACAACAGGGCCGACACGACCGGCCCCTGGAATAGTACACACAAACCGGCTCTCATTAACGTTAAATAACAACACAATTTTAATATGAATATACAGAATATTCTGTTGGGATTTAATGTTTGATTAACGTAATCGTCTGTAGATTCATGTAATGTTATGTAATTATTGCGTGTAAACTTGTCCACGAGGCGTAAAGCAACATGAACCTCTGTTTCCCGTGTAATGAACCTGGCAATTCTATGCCAAACCTTGCCCACCATGTTTAATTTGATCATGTTTATTCTGCTATATGTTATGAACAATATTTTATTAAATATATTTTTAATTTGTATGTTTATATAGTTATGGTTTAGTGAACCTCTAATAATATCTATTTAGATACTATATTTATTTAGATATTTAATCAAACAGACATTGCACTCATTAATTTATTTAAATGTAAAATTATTTATTTTCTACAACACGCTATCTCACAATTAATAAAATTTTTCAATCTCAAGTTAAATGTCGTTTACATAGATTGATAAGCAAATACTGTATAAGAAATACTGAACATTACATCTACAAAATATCATAATAAAATAATTAAAACAATGACAGCTCAAACACCACTTTTAGAATACACTGTACTTTTAATATTGTTATTTTGAGAATTTTAAAAATTTATAACACCAATTAGTTTTATCCAAATTGTAAAATTTAATTGAAATATCTGCAAGCATTACCCCTTTAGAATAATAAGTTACTCCCATAAACTTAACATTACTCCTTTAGACTTACAAGTTAGCATTGCCCATATAATTAACATTGCCCATAAAATTACCATAACTCATAGGATAACATTTAGCATTGATGCCCATGCTCGGATCAAATGTTAACTTCCATAGTGTGGGAAGGAGGAGAGAGGGAAGATGTTGTGATTAGTAAAATTAGTCTAGTAAAACTAGATAAAGTTAATCTTTATATAAAATTAATCATATCTGTTATGAATTAAAAATTGAACGATAGTAAAATAATAACAAATAAATGAATTGTGATTTAAAAATAAAACATAATAAATATCTTATCCATATCTCTGGCCTCAGAGCTGAAGAATGGCCTCGACTTCTAAGCCGACACCGCGTGGAAGAGCGGACACCTCTATACTACTGCGGGCCGGATATGGCCTCTGGAAGTACTTCTCAATCGCGCGGTTAACGGCCGGGAATTGTCGCAAATCTGTGATAAAAACGGTTAGTTTGACGATACGGTCGAGCGAAGCGCCGGACGCCTCGCAAACGGCCCGCAAATTGCGGAACACTTGTTCCGTCTGTGCCTCAAAAGGCGACAACACTAACCGACCCGACGCCGGGTCTATCGCGATCTGACCCGAGATATACACCGTAGAGCTCACTCGTATGGCCTGAGAGTAGGCGCCCACCGGCGGAGGCGCCAATGGGGTCTTGATTTCTTGTTTCTCTGAGTGGTGTTTAAAATTGAAATTTAATTTTTTTTAATTGTAACAATATATTTATGTGACCTACCATGTTCATAAACTTTTCCACCTCCTTCATAGCCACCATAGTTCTGGTACTTTAAATAAGATTTAGCCTCAGGTTTAACGTATGGCTTAACTAGAGCTGATTTGAATAATTCCTTGTGGTAGATTTAATGATAAATATGTTATCTTTGTTTAAAAACATATACATGTACTATTAATATATTAGCAACAATGAAATGTAATTAATATTTTGTAAAATTAATTTTACATAAAGCCTAAGTTAAATATTACCTTCTCATTGGCCCCACCATAACCTCTTCCATAGTCTCCCTCGTAGTGATCGCCGTTAGCGACAGCTATACTAAGCACTACTACCAGTGATATCAATAACATAAATGCTTTCATGATTTTTAAATCAATTGCTAACTAAATGGCAAATGAAATAAAATCATTTATATATTG